TGTAGGAAATCCGCTGACCCTAGATTGATATGGCAATATGTTTAGGAGACACTTACGACACTTGTTGTCGCCATCAGTGTTTCGAGAACAAGGTTTGAGGTAGTCAGTGCGCCCACATCTCCTTATTTGTCAGGTGCCATAAGCCAAAAAACAGTTTAGGTAATGAGTTGATAAATGAATAGGTTTTACCTCTTCAAATCATTGCAATACGTTGTCAACGAGCCGCGATACGTCTGTGACAGGCTGTTTTTTATTACAGCTTGATTCCACACCGAACTTTTCGGTACAGATTTGAAATTTTCAGCATGTGATATCGGTAGCCAAAATTTTGCAGGCCGACCATAGATATCAAGTGTGCGCCGGCAGGGGATCTAATCCCGGCCCATGTGCATGGTCGGCGAGAGTCCTAACCACTGTGCCACCGACGCACAGAGACGCGATACGTCTGTGACAGACTGTTGTGCTGTAATATCAGAAGTTATTTTGCTGGAATTATTGTGCAATAGTGGTAGTGTGCACTAGCATAATGAGCATGTTTTGTACCAATACCACCAATTAATTAGTCATTTTGTGGTCTGCTATGTATATTTATACATATATGTGTATCCATAAATTTATATCGTCTATGCATAAATCCAGGGGTGGCGAAAGGCTATGTGTGTAGAATCATACGCCAAACATACATACATCCATACCTACATTATGTTACAATCACCATATGGACAAAACTCTCTCTGAATTCCATGGGCCCAGTTTTATTCGCATCATCTTCAGTACGATGTTACTTTCTCTTGATCTGTCCCTTCCCTCGAAACTAACCGTGGAAGAGGACTAGATTATCTGGAGAAAATAGGTATGTAATTTGTGCGCGCCGGAATTCGGTTTGTTTATGAGAAGGACTGACTCAAGCGCCACTGTAATGATGTGTCTTTATTTCTTCCACCTCTTGGTTAACTTATGCGGGCGTGCTGTTCCAATTTTTCGAACATATCACTTGGAGAAAATGCAACCTGATATTTCTCAGAAAGTTTGGTATTTATATAAGGGGAAAACGATGCTTCACATATATTTTTTGTGTTTGTCAATTCTTTCCGTCGAAGCAAAATATAGGGGGTGAGGTACAACAGACTTGTACTTTGTGATGTGCTCGCGATACCTTCACATGTCAGGGACTCGGCCCATTTAACTCGCTCACCAGCCGTTGCAGTTATCACGCCAGTACTCACGTTGTTGAACATTGCCTGCAGGAGTCGTTTTCTGTGTGATTGTATCGTTGTCTAGTCCTGCAGATCCAAATCTATCAATACCGCCACTATCCTTGATATAACCCGGTGGGATTACAAAGTGTTTTGAGTGCTTCTCAGACACTCTGAAATACCCTTCGTATGGTACGGTTGATTATGTCCTCTCACACCTTACCCTTACATGAGACCAGGAGTCCAAGATCTCGTGTACGTATGCCTCTCTTGATTCTTCTCACGAGGACATCGGGCTTAAGCAAGCTGTTTGTAGTTGAGGCCTATCAGTGTATGTGGCCTGATCAAGTTTACCTCAACTGACAGAAGGACTAATGAATTCGCAACGGAGTCTCCAGGTGACTCACAGTACCATTTCTACCGCTGAATATTGAAAACTGGTCTTAACTCACGTTGGGCTACGAGGCTTTGCGTTTGGTTGGAATTCGGTTTCAGTGACCTTTGGGAGCTCTCTACCACCTCATTGGATTCGGGGTGATATGCTGTGTGGTGGATTCTGTGTGAACCCAGAAACTTCGACAAGTGTTTGAGATGCTGTAATTTGAAACGAGCTCCTCTGTCAGGAGATGGATTTGTATTGACAGTGAACGTGGTTGTTCAGTGTTGCATGGAAGCCATCAACACCGTCCAAAATGTTATGTCAGTAAGCAGTGCAACTATAAGGCTCCTAGTGTGGTCAACAGTTCATGTGGACAAGTGAGTTAATGTGATTGGGCATGTCATTGGACATACCAAATTCACATCGACATGATAGAAGTGATCCCCTAGCTGAGAGGGTGTTCCTAAAGGTGATATTGCGCCCCTGCCAGTTTCCGCCTTCTTGTATTATATGTCTGCCTCCTCGCTCCTGCACGTCGCATTGCGGGTTTGCCAAATGGATCTTGCAGAGTCCATTTGGGCGTAATCCTCCGCTGTAGAGCGCCATAACAGTTGAAAATTGCTGAATGTGGATTTTTTCATAATTTTGGCAACGAAGAGCTCGGGTAAGTCTTTGGTTGTGTTATATTATGTGAAACTGTCGTCTGTAGGGGATGGCAGTTGTTTGAGTCTCTGACTATTGTTATTTTCGTTGGAGATATGCTTTAACTTTCGTAGTTCTTTAGCTGTTCAGCCAGTGCTGTGGGGCTTAAAGTGGTTGGTTGGTTGCAGCGCACTAACGAGCATTCTGGACAGTGCATCAGTTACACAGTCCTCCGCCCGAATCGTGTGTCTTATGTTGCTGCTGAACTGTGATATAAAGCCAAGGTGACGAATTTATCCTAGTGAGTATTTCTTCGTTCACGCGTTGAGTGTGTTATTGGTCGGCTTATGATCTGTTCATAACACTTGCTGTCAACCAAAGTACTCAAGGGCTTGGTACATTGCTACCGACGCTCTGCCGAAACTTAGATATATCTTCGCCTCGTGATTCAGAAGTTCGGAAATGAACGCGATATTTTGCTGGTGAACATTGACTGAGTAGAAGGAGCCACTCATAAAACATTATGTGGAACATATTTTAGGGTAGTATAAACTCTTCAGTCCGACTGAACCTCAGCGATTTCGTCCTCGGAGGTCAAGTTGTGTATGTGTGCTGGTTTAATCACAAAACGGACAATCTTGTTTGCAATGGGCAAGAGTGCTGTTGAGGCATTGTGGTGTGATTGCGTATCTCAATATAATCCCCACTTTACTGTTAACAGATGCATCCTTAAACGGCCGTAAGTATAGCACTGGTAAGTTCCCTCACCTTTTTGGGTTGGGTTAAGATCAGGTAGTGAAGCCGTAGGTCAGTTCTTACAGGCAACTGTACAACGATCATGAGAATTATTCCCAGTTGAAGCCAACCGGGAAACGAGCCCACTATGGCTCAAGCTAAGTAACTAATTCGCTTCCTAGTGGTCTACGATTATCACTGTTGGAGCCCGTGGATGAGAGTATAATACAGCTGTATCCATATGCTCTGCGTACGTTCTGTCACAGAGGTGTTGCCCACAGTCCAAGTGATGCGTGAAGGCCATCTGACCAAAATGAAGCATCGCCTTGATATGATTATGAGCAGTAAATTGTGCTCGAAACGTCATAAGTAGATATCACTGCATAATAGTGTGTGACTTCAAAAGAAATTTTATCCATAACGGGGTTAGGCATTGGGGTCTCGTTGGTGTCCTTCAGTGTGACAAGGGATTTTCGTCATCCTAGCTTGTCTTCCATTTATCGGATGATGCTGAATTTCGCTCCTGTGTGGGCCAAGGAGTGTATGGTAATTCTTTTACCTTTGATGTAGGATGAGCGACAATCCGGTTACCTCTTCTCGTTAGTCGTTAGCTTAGTAGTGGTCGGTCGTTTCCCTGTTGTATGTGAGGTGTTTCGTGGTGTGTGCACCTCTTCGGTTGTGGGCCGGGCCAGGAGTGATACCAGCAGAATTATCTTTCTGACTTGTTTTGATCTGCCTCGTGACAAAGGACCTTATCTGCTGGGAGATCTGCCTCGGGTTCCTTGTGTCAGCTGTCTTTATGCCATTGTCCCCGATAGTGATCTAATGTTTGTTACAAGTCCTGGGATAACTGGTTCGTTACCGATAGACAGAAGGCTTACTTGTCCGTTTGTGATAGATCTTTCCATTGTTCGATCTGTGGTGTGCGCCAAATGCTCAATGGTGGAATCAGGGTCTTGAGCATACAGTGCCTTTTGCACATACTCTGTGACGGCTTTCATCCATCCATGCTTCGGTTAAGCATCTCCATCTACGCTGTCTCTCATGGGCTATTGGAGGCGGGACGAGATATGTGATGGGGATCTATCTCAAATGTCCTCACATCGAAGGAACCGTAATATACGCTAGTTTCCAGACGTAGAACGAGTGGGATTCTTCATCACCTCGCGTTTAAGCACTGCGTATGTCTGCTCGAGTGGGGCAGGGGAGTTTAAGTTCCCTCACCTCCTTGCTAATCTGATAAAGTAAATGAGAATACACGTCCGTGTACCTGGTAGCTTCAGACTTAGTATTCTGACGGACTAAGTAGTGCTCTAATTGTGGAAATCATAGCTTATGGTAGTGTCTATTGAATCTGTTTAACCAAACTTTCGTAGTCACCAAGGTATCTGCCTCTGCAGAGACAGTCTTTGGAGTCAAACTCCTCCCTCGATATATTGGACATCCTAGTGATCGAAATCAATTAATAAACCCCGTATGGATTCGGAGGAATAGTTGAAAAGGATGAAAGTTTCTACAAATTGCAGTCAGGATTTAAGAAATAGGGTATTGTGAGCGAGTTGTATTCATCTTCTGAGATGGGGACTCTGCTATCGAAATAAGTACGAAAATTAGTGACCGACAGCTGGTGTTCAGGAAGTTTGCAGCAACTAGTGCTGTAGGGTGGATTTAATGCATATTCTTTTTAATTGTAGCGTTGTGGTTCAATGCCACGTTGGTAGACTGCTATAACTATGTTGCTTTTGCAGACTTGCTTACGAATTAACAATTAGCCTGGGATAACTGCCCTGGAAGCGAGATCCAGGGGCCTATAGGATTTATTCAAGCTCATCGATTTAACACTGAATATTGGGCCATTATCTGAATTTTCCAGCCGCGTTATACAGTGAATAGCTGAAAGAATCAATTTTAGTAGTTTGGTGTAAGGTTTTTATCAGATATGAACGGCTCATTAATCTTGCAGGAAGTACCTGTAAACACGTCTCTCTCTCAAGTAAGTACTCCCTTGTGAAGATTGTTGAACACCGGAGTGGCCTTAAACTGCTACGGCGGGCCACCAACTGGTGACCTTGGAAAACTTGTTAAATTTCTGGAAAGTTGTCATACTATTGTTGGCTTGTAAAATCCATTCTGCCGCAATTAGTTATACTCTACCTGACACAAATTTAATGAAAAACGTATGTATTGTGCTGTTTTTACTAGCATGTTTTTCTTATGGGAATATAAGCGGTCCTATTGTGCGTAATAAAACCGATTGGTATTGTTGTAAATGGGAAACCACCAAAAATGTTCTGATGTTGCTGACGTTTTCAGAAGCTCAAAATCACCTTCTTCTTACTGTTTTAAGGCTAAATAAAACAAGAAATTTAACTGGTGGTTCATACATCTCTTAAAGGTGCTGGAATTAATTGGCCCTTCTGAAATAGCTTTTCAAGTGGAGTGTTAGGCAGTGGTCTTCATATGTAAAAATCATACGCCCCATGTAGAGGGTGCCGCTGAATTCATATCCTGGCTGACTCGAGGAAGTCAATAGACTTGGATATTATGTAACTTTACCAAGGAAGCCACTCTAGTAGGCTTTGAAGTCTAGTTGACTGTAACAAACTGGTTTTTTCCTAATAAGTAAGTGTGCGTGATGTAACAGTGATACTTTACTACCGAGTGAATGACGTCTTGAGCAAAATTTATTGTTGGTAGTCATATCAGTGAATTCACACTTCTCAAGTTGCTTGGCATATTATTTTCTCTTTCCCATATTATTCATTGTAATTTTCTAAATGTCTGCTATAGGCGTTACGTCATTCCGGTTGCATGTGTTTGATGTTGATTCAGCGAATGGTAATTAAGCTCCCCACATATCTATGTTACTTATCAATACTTTCACCCTATTGAATCTTGTTGTGTGATTACATGCATTGCAAATGGCTGAGATTTTATCTGTATCTGCTATATAATCAAGCGAGGTCAATCATTCTATCTCTAGTTAAATCCCTACGTTCCAGTAATCTAACAGGCCTCAAGCCACCAGTGTGACCAACGTAATTGAACTCAGTAATTACAGAGGATTTGGTGAGTTATATTATTTTTCTTGATTGGATCTCTCGGGTCCTCAAGCCAATAAAGTCAGTTGGTTGGTTTAAATGCCAGCTTGATTCCACCCTTATTAAGAGATTTACGTAGGGTTTATGACTTCCGTTCTCTGTATTGTGGTACTATCGAGGGTGGAAATTCCTTAGGATTCACATTATTCTCACTATTTACTTTATCACTTTTAGTTTTCTATGTCTTCATACATGTCGGAATGAAATCTGTTAGTTACCTATTCACCAATGTTTTCTCTATTTGCTTGATATCACTATATAAATCTGACTTAATAGTTAGGCTTCTGACCCTATTATAGGGACATTTAACTAAACCTCCCTCCTTCCCTAAGTTCCCATATCTAAACTCAGTAATAAATGGAATCCTACTCATCTTTGCGCTAAAAAATTAGCAAGGTGAGTTTTCCCTGCTGGAATGTAAAATCAAGTGGCGACATGGAGGAATAGACAGGTAAATACAGGGGACTGACACATTCTAATAAATCCACTTTAGTTCACTCAACCCAGAATCAGTAAAGTTAGGCTTAATTTGAATGTTTACAGTTGCTAGATTGAGCCATACTTATTGTGTGGAAACTAATTTTATTACCCAGTCACCCAGTTTAAAGAAAGTAGAGTTAATATCATAGCTTACCATAATGTCTTCTTTATCAATTTCTCGGTGTTCTATTTGGGATTTGAAACCATGAATTTCTCACAATATTTTGGTTTAGTTATCTTCATTGCTATTTTTACTTTCAATATGTCCCTTTAACTTGACCTATGTCTATTTTCTCACCCCCTAACTGTTTGATATATATATGCTGAGATTTTATAAATTCCGGTTTAATCATAATTTGATAAAGCTATTAGCATTAAATAGCGAAACGTCAGTAAAAACAATATCGTTATGTTTTTCATTCATTGGGAAATACAAAAACCTTTATTATAATGAATATCATATACCCAATGCCCAAATTTTTTCAAACCGTTAAAAGTGAACTTGGTTTGGACATATATAAGAGAGACATTTCCCTGTGATAATGTTACACACATCAGTGTGACCACTATCTGAAACTCTAGGCTCCATAATGGGTGGTGCTCGAAAGAAACAAACCAGCATAAACCAAGCGGGTCTTATTTTTTTTTATTGTTTTGATTATAGCTTGAAACTACACCGTATTTTTAGTACAAGTATGGAATTTTCAGCATGCGATATCGGTAGCCCAAATTTTGCAGGCCGACCATTGATATCAGGTGTGCGTCGGCAGGGGATCGAACCCCGGACCATGTGCATGGTCGGCGAGAGTCCTGACCGCTGTGCCACTGATGTACAATGCAAATAAAAGTTTATTGATCATATCTTCACCCTTCGACAAATTCTGGGACAAAGGGGTACTTACTGGTGTCTAAAACTTTGCACATGTCTTGATCTGAAGGTAACATTTGCAACTTAGACATGAAGTTGAAAATGGAAGATGTGAAGAGATTAGCTGTATTGGTAATGAGTGTTTGCTTTCTTTTTTCGTGTTAGGTGGTATAATATAGTGGGTAGTATTTGGGCCAGGCATAATGTTAAGTAAAGAGGGAAAGCAATCAGTGAGGTTGTAAAACTGAATCGGTAGATATGGCTAGGACACGCGTTATGTATGCTGAATTATTGCACTACTCGACGAGCAATGCTGGCTGACATAGGATTAGATTGAAAAAGAGTTGGAGACAGGCATCAGTTCATAATGTCCTTGACAGTTAGTGTGGGTCATGTAGCAAAGTACAGACTTCCTGACGGTTCGGATGTCGGTAAGTCCAAAATAAATTTGGCTGCGTGATTTTAAGAGGCCAGTAATATATTTCTTGCTCTACCCGAAGGTAGTGCCCATGGAGGTGAGAGAAGTTGAAGTATGATGGCAGTAGGTAGAACAATATAAAAGCATTTGTGGATGCTGTTGGGTGAGTGGTATTTTCCCAATGAAATTTTAGTAGTTTATTCCGCACAATAACTTTACCATCGGTTTGGGATTAACATGTTGTATGCAGGGATATCAAAATTTCGGGACTAATGTTTTGTAATTTCTTTTTCCTAGAGTTGCAGGTTAGCTAAATGGTTTGACGGTCGTATGAGGGAAACACCTTATAGCTGTTATAGCTCTATTATCCCTTTGTACGGCCTTGCTGTCTGATTCTGTCACACTGTAAGTAGGTTTCCTGCTTCCAGCTTAATGACTGTTCATTGAATCTCTGTCATGTTAAAGCCTACAGAAACATTCATTGTAGTAGGTATAGCCTGTTACTTGAATAGATTTACAATTGTGAGGACTATAGATGAGTAAAACATAATGATTGTTGAATATTTAAATAGCTTTAAAGTTTTTTTAAAAATTTTCTTCAGGTTGTTGTTCCTCTTAATTTGCTTTTGAGAAAGCTTTTTCACCGATCAAATTACGGAGCATTACTTCGAGTTGTTTGTAAACGACATGTTCATGGATTCATTGACGGTCTTGAGAATACTATTGAAATAAAAGTTTCTGAAGCTGATGTCAGTAAACGCATATCCAGTCAAGAGTTAACATATAGTGGGAAGAATAAGAGGATTATATTCTCAGCCAACCAGGTAATTCCATAGTTTCATTCTCCTAAATTTATTAATTGCTTGTATTTACCACAACTCAGATTTCTCTAATGTTGATCATTCACAGTATTATTGGGTTCTAATTAGCTGTGAAATACATGAAGTTCATTTTGTGGTATTTAAAACTTCAGCTGAATGTAACAACATTTCATCTCTGGAGTTGCAAACTAAATTTTAGCACAGTAACACTGATTTTTATCCATTAGGTTACAAAGCTTTAATGATTGCCTCTGCATCTAAAATTCAGGCCATACCATATGAACAGTTATTAATTAATGTTAAGTCATATGTCACTGAAAAATTACAGTTGTTTTTAAGGTAGTTTCTGTCTGATTTTTAATTGATCATGAGGCGGTCTTTTTTCTTTCCAATATTTACACAAATGGTTATTACATTCTATTGCGTTCAGAATATTCTTAGGTGTCATTTGAGATTTCTGGTAATTATTTCATTCTTCATAACAGCCCACTTTTTCAACGTGTGTTTTGCTTAGTTTTTTTGCCACCTTTTCTTGTTTATGAAATCAGGTTGGCGTTAATCGCCCAGTTGAAGATCGCTGGATGGCGTCTCATTTTGGTGAGGGCGACTTAAACTCTCTCAGTCTTTATGACCATAAAGATGCAAATCAGGAGGGATCAAATTACGGGGGCACAATATTTACTGTAGTCGACGGTCATGGTGGACATGCTTGTGCACATGCAGTTAATTTACTACATAGCGATTACGTCACCTGTGGTCTTTTACCTCCTGAGGTATCCGAACTTGCTCTAGGCAATCTACGTCAGATTCAAGAGTCGCGCACACCTCGTTCAATTTGTGAGTTGGCAGTAACATTATGGATGACATCTGGTGCAGTGGTCACTGGAGAATCTGAACGTATCGAATTTAATTTGAATGAAAACAAAGATTCTAGGTTTTCAAATATGAATTTACGCTCTATGTATAATCAGCCTAATATCCGATGGGGTCCTTGGGGACCATGGGGTCCCCTTCCATCCTCGGTACGTGATGTACATGTTGGACATATTCGCAAATTTCTCGAAGAACTATTGTCTACAGGGGATGAAAAGGGTAAGTTTTGACCTGCACATTAAGGCATAAGCTTGTTTGTTTTGTTGTCATAGGTAGTTTTCACATTTCGTCTCTTTCTTTTTTGTGAGTATTTTCTACTGTTCTGTTTGCAGACTTAGAAATAGTTTTATCGTCCGATTTTGTCAATACGAATAAAGAAATGGTGAGTGGTAAGGTTACTCTTAGTGGTAGAGATACAGTTACTCCTTGTGATCTCCCGGATTCATTAAATCTTCATTATTCTTCATGGACATTGTTTTCAATAAGTCTATCCCGAGTTTTGATCCATCTCCACCTATTTCAGCCTGGGCAAGTGAGTAGTCTTATCAGCCGTAAGAATAAGTGTGATTCAGTTTGTGATCCGGATAACTGAGTCCTAAGAACACTATTATTCTCCTGATTATTCTTCCTCCCATGTATTTACATTTGTTGTAGGTTTATTGCATTTCATCTCACTACCTATGAGTGCTTTTATGTAGTATCAAAACTTGGACTACTGCACTTTTGTGCAAAGTTCTACGTTAAATATCTAGTAATTCACTCAATCAGCTAAGTGAGTCTAACTAAAACAAGCTTCGTTTATAGTACATATTTTAATTTTAAACCTATCTCATGTTTCATTATTTTGACTTCAGAGTTCCTCTATACCGATAATAGTGATGGTGATATGATTGATCCAGATGGTTTTATTACAGCTTCATTAAATACACTTAAAGAGACTGCCATGAAATATTCACGATCTCCACTTCCAACGGAGTCATCAAAAGATTATATTTCATCGTCAGGTATGTTGACAGAAGTTAAACTTGATGGCTTATTTATTTAGATTTCGATCACTCTGTTGATAAACTACGAAACTATGTCGCATCCACTGCTTGGGCATTGAGAAATGGTCTTCGTCGAATGGATCTGGATACGGCTCTGGCCTCGTCTCCTAGTTTTCATGGTCCTGTGTTAGATAAGGCTTTGTTACGCATTGCGTTTGCTGGTTGTGTAGCAACTTCAGCTTATATCCCTCGTCATCGTAAAGAAATTTTTGTGGCTCAGGTGAGTAGTAAAACTAGTATGTCCGTCATTTCAAAAAATAATGCTCATTCGTCTGGAACAGATTTCTTTTACGTACTAGACTACAAGTCATTCAATATGTGTGGGCATATTGTACTACCATTTATGTATTATTTATACACAAACTCGGTACATTATTGGCACCCAGTTTAATCGGCGTAAAGCGAGTTTGCACCCACCGACATTTGACGGCCAGGCTGATGTCGCGACGGTACCAGAGGTGATCCAAATTGGTATATGTCACCCTAGCTTTCACTAAACGGTTAGAAATCTCATCCGTCATACGTCCACCAATATTCACGCAACAACCTAGATACACGAACTTGTCTACAACTTCAAGCGGTTCACCTGCCAGAGTGAGTGCACGTACAAGCTCCTGCCAATCTTGCAACACTACTTTGCACTAAGACTGCATGAAACATATACCATACTTACAGACACTGATCGCCAACTGATTAAGTGCGACTTGGTCAGCCTGCATATAAGACGATATCGTTTGCATACTCGAGGTCGAATAGTCCTTTTCCACCACCATGCACATCCTTCGGAGACGTTTCTAGAATGTCACCAATTTCCTGAATGAAACCCAGCATGCCCTTTGCGAATCAGTTCTTCATTCCTCTCGCACAGTCTGCCAATCAAGAGAGCAGAGCAAAATAGTTCCCCTATGGTCGTCACAAGTACTATGTAGACTCTTTTTAAAGATGACACGATAGTAGTTTCAGTCCACCCTTATGTAACTTTCTCACTTCCCCACAAATTCGTGAACAATTCAGTCAGCTTCCTGACTTTAGTCATCACATCATCACCGCAGCTGTTTCTCTAATTGCCACCCCCTCCTCGCTGTTCCAGGCGTCTTTCAAATTCGCTGTTAATCCGCATACTATCCACCTAATACGCCTCGCTGAAACCATAACTTTTGCTGGAAGTGACACGGATGAACTGGAACAGAATCTGACTAGTCCCAAATACAGACACCGATTCCACGTAACAGGCCTTCTGACCAGAAGCCGTACTTCTTATATGAGTACTGTTTGATCCGAACAATGACAGCAAGCCTTTTGGATGTTGTTAAACTCGCTATCCACCAGAATGAACTGATAGGCGTCAAGAAGTTGCAGGGAGTAAGTAACCTTTTGAACTGCCAGCGGCTTTTCATAGCGTTCTGTGTTTGTTCGTTCATATTATTTGGGTGTCCGTAGCTAGCCTTGACTCTAGCCAGCTCAATTCGGTACACCGTAGATGTAGAAGGCGCCGTCAGTTCGCTCACATCAACCTGTGGAGAACGATTTCTTCGGCCACCATTGAATCACAAGAGGAGCCTGACACATGTCAGAGTATGATCAGAATCTAGAAGGAGTGGTAGTCCTTTACACAACCACGTGACCGGTAGATAATGTGGTCCATTCCAGTCTAGGCTTGTGTGTCAGAGGCAGGAAGCCGGGTGCGATGGATGTGTCGGTAGTTAGTAATGAGTAGGAATTGGTTGTGTTCTGCGCCAAGGCATAGAAGACGGTCTGCATAATCTGACCTGCAACCATGTAGTTCCAGTCGAACACATAGATTCTCTTCTGGTGTGTATCTAAGTCCTCAACTTGCACTATTGTCTGTTGGACGCGCCTGTTTCAGGAGGTCACTCAGTTGATAGTAAAACAAATCCCTAATTTCATCCGGGTCGTTGCATACGCAGAGATAACAGTGACTTAATTTTTCTAGCTAATGGCTTCTTACCTTAGTATAAAGTTGTAGCCTCACAGCTTGTGAACCGTTCATGGGGGCCCAGCTTCGGCTGTAGTGCTTTGTGCGACATGGATACTAACTAAACCGAACGCCGACACCATTGTTGGTACACATCATTTGAACTTGTATACGGATCTTTTTTACTTAGTTGTCTTCTCTGAGCTGGCTGATTTAATTGTGAACCTTTCGTTGTTCTTCTGGACAACATCTTCTGCGCAGGTTTCAGCATGAAACGAACTTATTTGAATTCTCCATGAATGTTATATTTGTATCTTTTGCAAACTATTGTCGTGACTACTTGTTAGTTTACATCTCTATTGATTGTTTTTATTGATTTGGAATTCGAACTTTGTTGTCATGTGATTTACTTTACATTACTTTACATTAGCTGATAAATTTGGCCTGTAGTAATGTGTTTGTTAATTGCTAATTCGCTTGACTACCAGTGTTTTAGAAATACCATGGCATTTTTGGTGTTTCCTCTATTTAAAATTTCCTCATTATCCCAATGAAATTGGTGCCCATACTAACCTACATGTATTGATATCAAAGAACACATATCATGTCTGCTCACAGTTGATTTGTGTCCCTGGATTCGGACCCGGAGGAGATGCCCACTTTGACCGATTTGATGTTTATTGCAGTTCATACAATTTTGTTGTTGTTGTTGTAAATTTGTATTAATTTTATCTTTTCCTGGTAGATTTTTTAGTTTGCACAATGTCGAATTAAGTGATTGTGTTGGTTGGCTTGTGTGGTATATCTGTTTCAGATGGTCTTAATATTCGATCTGTTATTTCAGAAATGTTTTTTATATGTGGTAGGATGAAACCTTTTGTGGTTCTTTGATGATGGTTTCTTGTTGGTGTTATGACTCGAGTTTAAACACTTTTTCACGAAACTGTGCGGATATTTATTCTTTTTGAAGACGGTTAGTAGGTATTTTTCTCCATTCTCCTCAACACTGGAGTGCTACAGCGTGTTTGAACTCTTTTTTTATCAATGTCTGCACACAGTTTCTTTCGTGAGTAATTGGCTTGTTGCTATCATAGTTGGGTATTTGGTATGTGTGCGTTGATTTTATATATACTTGTTTTTCTAAATTTTCTGTGTTAGTTCTCTTGTTGTCTAATTCTTCTTATCTTATGAATTTAATCACTACAACATAACGTACGCAGGTGTTTGGTTTAATTATATGTATATATTAATTCTAATCTTTACATAACGGCTTCAGCTATTAGTCCTGATATGGGCGATCCCATCGGTATTCCTTTTATCTGTTCGTATATTTTAGTATTGAATTAGAAGTATGTTGTTGTAAGCCATAATTCTATGATTTTTATCCAAGTTGAACATTGCCTTTTTTCATCACTGTAGAGTAGTTGTCGCATAGTTTTTTTTTGAGCTAGTTTTGGACCATTTGAAGTATATAATGCTGTGACATCAAAGAACGCCATTATTTCATTGTTATCTACTTGGATGTTTTTGATTTTCTCTAAAAATTGGATTTACGAATTGATGGAATGTTCGGTATTTTAATTTTTTGATAAGTTCTATGGTCTTTCCGGCAGTGAAACGATTGGTCATAAGGGGATGTTTGGTTTGTGGCATACTTATCTCTTAGACGCAGCATACATCGACAGCGAGATTGTAGATATCTGCCTTGATCTGCCTGTTAGAGCTACTTTTGATCGATCTGCGAACACTATAGGTGGCCAGCATGAACACATTAAATAGTCCTGTTGATTTCCTGAGGCTGGTTGAAGTGTGCAAGGCGAAATTCGAATTTAAGCTCACTGGATAAACATTTGGTGTTACAGCTAATGAAAAAGAAAAACAAAAGAGTTTATTACAGACAAGGAATTATGATTCCGTTGATTCTCGACTTATTGGTGTTATCTTTAAACTCAAGGTGGATCAACACCATAATCACAATTTATTCCCATCAAAGCCGTTAAAAGAACGTCATCGATTTCAAAGTTGCATTGTGATGGCGAGAATGGGCTACTCCTTCTCCTCCTCCTCCTCCTCCTCCTCCTCCTCCTCCTCTAACTTCACTACTTGTGTGGACAATGAAGGAAGTTGATCGTATGTCAATGGTATGAATACAAGGACTTTAGTAAGGAGACAAACTTAAAAGGCAGTCTTATTAAACGAAGTGAACTACCATAAAACTACAGGAGTCATGTGTATTTTCTCAAGTATGATTTGGTATATTCAGCGGTACAGATTAATGTCTTGATCTCACCTTTATTCATAATGTGAGAAATGTAAATTTGTGTATCTTAATCCTGTGATACAGGTAGGTGACTGTGGAGCTGTGATTGGAAGTTATATGCCTCCTAAAGAAGTTCCTATTAACACCTCGTCTGCTAAGGATATTTTTACATTGACTCAGGGAGAATTTGTGAGAGAGCATTGGGACGCTGAACTGTTAGTTTCTCCACATACAGCCGAAAATGAAGCAGATGTTAAACGACTGAAATCTAGTCATCCAGTTCATGAATCTGAATTTGTAATTCGAGATGGCCGACTGTTAGGTAAGCATATTTTGTATTTTCCTTTACATTATATGTGTTTTCATGGTGATATAAGTGGTTTCTACCGATAATGTTCTCGATTACCGTATACCTAGTAACACTGGAGACATGAGATGCAATTCAAAGTCGACCAAGTAACAAATGTGTTTCCTATATATGTCGTTTATTTAGTTATGTCTCATTGGAAAAGGGTTATCGCTGATACACGATGTGAGAAGTTCGTTATTTATAGATATATTATGGTGTCAGTGTGCAATGCTGTTTTAACGTCTAAATCATTCAACAAAAAGTTAAAGATTTAGGTATACGAAATCGTGATACAAATAAAAAATCCACTTTTTATACAACAAAACAATAATTGAGTAATAGATGGCCATGAGATCACACAGATCTCTGTGTATTTAGTATTTCCATTTGTCGAATTCAACCTAACAATTAATGTCCTTCGTTTTAGTTTATCAGGTTTTTTGGGGGAATCAGCAGGGAGTTTTGGACCTGGGAGTTTCGTGCTTGTCGGCACTCGTCAGCGAGGTGTACCTGCAACTTTGAATGAACTCATGTCTCTTCTGAGATTCTAACCCGTGTCATCCAGTGCTGCAGTCGGAGCCGTTACCACTGATCTGACGAGTACCAACAAACACAATATCTTTGTCCAAGGCTTCCTACCAATTGCCTCCAACTATCTCATATCAACAATTCACAGTGCGCCGTAATGCCGAGTCACTTAGCATGATGGCCAAATTGTAAAGTTGACTGACTGAATTCAGTCTGCACCAAACAAATGACTAGACATATTATACTTGTCACTAACTAGTGCCCAATCTAAAACATGTCTGTAGTGTTAAAAATTGTTAATTGTTATAAGTAATTGTTAATAATCTTGTTAGCTTCGGTACTTCATGACTGGGCTCTTATTGAAGTTTTATTCTCCACTCTGTATGCTCTTAGTACCACTAGAGGTGGAATAAAGTTCTCTTTATCACAGACTTTCTAAGTGGAATATTTACTGGCTTGTAATAATCACAGAATCCTTGTAAATGTCAAAGTGAATGTGCTTAAGACTTATTAATAGTCTGTTACCAGTTCCTTGCAAAATACTGGCTTCTATTGTGCTCCACAAGCTTCTTGAAGCGTGTAGGAAATTGGTTTTCGAAATTTCATGGAAATCGCCTCGTTAATGGTTGTACTTTAAAAATTAAAGACAGTAGTACAGTTAAACAACAAATCAACTCAAACATTAGGCTGACAATCATTTGCTACAACATCAATTTTACAACCAAGTCATGTACCTTAATTGATGAGATACAATACACATTATGACAATTTTTTTTTGCTTTCTACTCTGATTTAATCTTCCTGTTTGCATATCGCCATACCTCTTACTGTAATTTTTTAGAATATGGTATTTCGTACCAAATAAGTGAACAGTTTAAGCTAGTTAGCTCACGTATAGGCTATTTCCTGTAGATTTTCTTCTGTAAATAAGTTTGGAAATATCAGACATGAAATAAAAGGCTGTTCCCATGTATTTTGGTCGGCTATAATGACCTGGGTTTTTTTCTTTTATGGAAGAAATGAGTGTGCAGCAGAAACGTATCCATCATTTGTGCAACACACTTGAAACATTAAGCGTTTCAGACCAATTACTTTTGATTGTTTTGTCGAAATTCATGAAGGCAACTAAATTGCCTTAAGTTTCCGTTACTCTTCGATGAGTTGGTCTTCCAGCACAATTGTTAGACCAAGAGGTCACTTTTTGCCTGGACAATTAACTTTTTAGATTTTGATGATGATACAAGTGGCAGTATGTTCCAAGATGAGTTCCAAGCGCATGCAGCATGATGTGTTACTTTTATTCCATATAGTTGAAGACAACTTGATAACACTAAAAAAAATACCTCCAGGGAGGAAATTAGGTGTAAAGGCATTGATTTTATAATGAAGAACAGAATTAGGTGAATCGATTTTCACATGTACTGAGTAACTTGAATAAAAAGGTATACTCAAGAATGCGTCGCATTATATTAGTTATGAGTGGGGATAAACGATTTCTAATTACATATAGTCAATTTTGAGTTTGATATTCAGTGTATCCTAAAAATGCGAAAATATGCAGTGAGTGATATTGGCAAGTGGAATATACTGAAAAACACAGCTAAGAATGATATCTTTGGAAAATACTATTGCGTGTTACTCCACTTCCATTATAAACAGCAGTAGTTCCAAAGAATTGTTTCTCCATACTACAATCAAGAAATCATACAAAAGATGTTAACTTAATAAACATTTTTATTTGCCATGCGAGTTGGCAGTGGACTGCACCTGTTGTGTGAGGGTTAGTGATACTGATTGGTTGTCCAGACATCCATTAGTAAAGCCGGGTTCAAAACCACGACTCAGTGTTTGAGAGTCATACCGCAGGGACCAGTATGCTACAGCTCCAAACACAGAAAATGAATTATTAAAAAGATGGTTGTAGCGAAGAAAATTTTCTTTTCGATGAAGTCATCAACTAGGCTGTACATTCGTGCATTTATAACAAATGGGTGGGAAAGTTCCAGAATAATTTCCGGTCAAGGGTCAGGGGAACTTTCCCACCCATTTGTTATAAATGCACGAATGTACAGCCTAGTTGATGACTTCGTCGAAAAGAAAATTTTCTTCGCTGCAACCGTCTTTTCAATAATTCCTATGAGTTATTAAGGATTTTGCATAGGTTAACTAGAAATACACAGTGATTGTTAACGTGCTGTTTTCAAGATGCAATATATCCTGTTTTCCGCGTTGGTTTTTAAGGAAATTATACTTAAACCTAATGAGTTGATTAATATAGGTGTTTTGTCTTGTGTTGGTTGGTTAATGAATTCTCAAACGTATTGATTTTTAGAGTGATGTTTACAGATGTGGATTTAAGAATGAAATGACTTATTTATCTCCTAGTGTAAATAATAAAAAAAATGTGTGGTTCAGTTTGATCACGGTTTTCATGCGTGTTTGGTTAAATGAAACTTCTCTTTTCATCTTAAAATCTAAGAGATATGTTCATCTCAAAAGTGGTTACCAGATTTGAATTCAATATTAAATGTACGTTTTGACCTACAGATTTTTACTTTGGCGAAGCGGTGGATCTGGTATGTCCAAACTGTCTAGCAAACCGTGTCAGCTTAGAAAATTGTTTCTCCAATTTTACCATATCTACAGTCAGAGCAGTAGTTTGTATGACTTTTCAAGTGCAATTAAAGCTACAATTCTGAAGTAAAAAGTTCATTATTCGATATAGTCCTTATTGACTGTTACCTGTCAACTGTTCGACTACCATTTACATACTGTAAAAGTTAAGGATCGTTGGGCACGTTTACTTCTTACACTAGTTTCTGCCTATACACATCCACTAACTGTAACTCAAATGATTCAAAAAGTGCTTACCACTGAAAACTATCTATTGTTTCTAAAAATTTTTATTTCAAGGTTATGTATTTGTGTTCATACTATCCTTGATATTGATAATTCTCATGGGAGATAATGTGAACAGTTAATGCGAAAACGCCTCGAAGAATACCACCGTCTTCCCATATTCTTAGTGCTAACCCTACATTAGGAAGTCCATGAAAATTATAGCTAAATAATTTCCTTAAACTCATGGTGAATTTTGCAGTTCTTCTATGTTACCTAGGTGGATTAAGCGAATGACTGCACATATATCTTATATACTTATCTCCAACATGCAAAATATATTCAAAGCACGAGATGGTAGGGTTTTGTATTGTCAGGCCTTCTATCCTATTTGTAGTGTTCAGATGTTTAATTTTAAAAGACCAGTAATGATGTTTCTTTAGTTTAATTCATCATCGCTGGTTACAGAGTTAAGAGAAGACAAAAAAAATCGTTAGAGAAATAGTTACTAGTGAAAGAAAGTAAAGCTTATAGAAGCCAAGGAGATGAACGGGTTATGTAATAAGGAGAAGACTGCACAATAATAATTCAACTTAAGATAGCTTTCGTGATAGAAAATTAAAAAAATATCTCCACAGAGTATTTTATTCTATTTTTATTTTAGGTGAATTAATGCCCTTGCGCGCTTTTGGTGATATTCGTTTTAAGTGGTCAACGGACGACTTGAAGAACATAGCACGCCTCTTAGATCTACCTCCAAATTATCCTATTTCACCTGGATTTTATGCTAGCCCACCATATTTGATAGCTACACCTCAAGTTGTCTGGAAACCTCTGACTTCTTATTGTGACCACTTCTTGATCTTGGGGACCGATGGTTTATGGGACGCAGTTTCACCTGAAGACGCTGTGCATGTAGTTGCCCAACACTGGTATGATTATAAGGGAGTAAGTTCTACTTATAGGGGATATTTTTGAACTTTAATTTGAGATAATATTTATAGACCCTAAGAAGTAACGGTTTTCCCCTGGTCGATTCTGCTTTGTCCTAGAGATAAAAACCACTTGTGCGTCAGTGGCATAGCGGTTAGGACGCTCGCCACTAGCTTGAAGTCCTATGTTCCACTGGGGAACGTGAAGGAAAAAAAAGGAAGAAATAAAGGTAACTGCTTCAGCAGCACATCTCCATTCCACCTAGTTCTTTCCCACCATTTTCAGCTGGCTCGACGACAGCTCTTCACATGATCTCCTCCATTTCACTCTCAAACTGTAAACAGTCCCAATTCTAACTGCACCCTACGCCCTCCCCGAAATGCCTACTCATATGTACATTCCAATTCCCTCTGCATGTTCGCGGGACACTTGTTACTTGGCTAGTTCTCTGACTTTCGGAGTTCCTCATCGCTTCTCCTTTTTGGCCGGCCGCCCATCTGATCTTTAGCATCGAGACAGTGAATTGGGTTTCTGTTGATGTAAGTGTCTGCAGTAGTCTGTTGGAGGTGCGTCTGATGACTTGTGTGCCCAAGTCTCTGGACCAGATAGAAGCATTAATTTGGCATAAGTGTCAACATTGACCGAACCCTGTTGAAATAATGGAGAGGATTTGTAGCTCAGGTGGATGATATTGAATTAGTTGTGTTCTCTAAGCTGGCTGATTTAATTGTGAACCTTTCGTTGTTCTTCTGGACAACATCTTCTGCGCAGGTTTCAGCATGAAACGAACTTATTTGAATTCCCCATGAATGTTATATTTGTATCTTTTGCAAACTATTGTCGTGACTACTTGTTAGTTTACATCTCTATTGATTGTTTTTATTGATTTGGAATTCGAACTTTGTTGTCATGTGATTTACTTTACATTACTTTACATTAGCTGATAAATTTGGCCTGTAGTAATGTGTTTGTTAATTACTAATTCGCTTGACTACCAGTGTTTTAGAAATACCATGGCATTTTTGGTGTTTCCTCTATTTAAAATTTCCTCATTATCCCAGTGAAATTGATGTCCGTAATTATTTACATGCGTGGATGAAAAATAATATACATCATATCATTTTACAGCCCTTTCAGGATCCTGTGCTGAATGCTGTAAATTTTCGTACTGATTTGACATTAGTGAACGACTTTTTCATCTTTTCGATCCGGTGATGACTGCCTTCGACACCTTTATCCGTGCCAGTTCCAGCTGAAGGGATACTGCTCAAACAAGTGAAAGAGAGGCGACTTTTTTTAAAATTTCTTCTGTTGATGGTGACTGCTACTTGTTGTTGTTGTTGTTTGGGTATCTTCATTCCATCTGTCTTCATTATCTTCTGAGTGACTGAGTTTTCAGCGTAGACCCTTTGCTCAGAAACAAAGTCCTCTCTTGGGTTCGTGTTCTACTAAGTTGCTGGTTTTCACTTGTATATCTTCGACTTTGTGCAACATGAGACACAAGTTGTTTTCTGATTTAAGGTCTTATAAGGTCCTCACGCTCCATGGTCTGATGCACATTTCAGTTCACCATGATGAGGAAGGAACGTCATCAGTGAAACTAAGCGGCCTTATCGTGCACACGTTTCAAATTACTTCTGAGGAGTAATCGTGTTTTCATAGGATCATAGAAATCTTTTGCGTAAATTTCATTTAACACTTTTGTCTGTTCTCTCTATCGAAGTAAAAGATTACAGTGTCACTTTGTATATGCTTTAGCGCCAATTTCAGTTACCAGAAGTTGTCATTTGTTATGTGCTTGTAAGATTATTATTTCTGATGTCGGCTTGCTATATATTCTTTTCTTTAGAATCCATCGTCTTGTGGTCCAGGCGATACTGCTGCTAGTCGTTTAATTCGAACTGCTCTTGGCGGTACAGAAATGAATCCGGAACAAATTGCTTTACACTTTTCAATGCCGGCTTCTTTAGCCAGATATTATAGAGATGATATTACTGTCATAGTGGTTTATCTACCCACTGCTTTCTCTGATACTGTATAATTTTAGTTAAATGTTTGAAAAATTGTAGAATTCACAGATCTGTTTTAGCTTAATCTTTTTCTAATGTTGTATATCAGTGCTAGCTACACTAATGCCCATAGCCTATTCATTTTTTGTTTGTTTTCTAAGCCTATCCATCATGAGTTCGTGTTCTTTTTTGTATTATTCTGAAGAGTAATGCCTGCCTGTTTTTAATTCTTTTTTTTTCTGAATTTTTTAATATTACTGCAAGTTCGAAATTAACTACGCTTCTTGTTTATGCTGAAAACTGCGTATTAACCTAACACTATAATTTTCACTACTGCATTTATACTTATGGATTCTTGGAATGCCTTGTTAATGAGCTCTCTGTGTTTAAGATCGCAATTACTGTTCACTGAGAGTTGTTTGTCTGTTTCTTTGTTTGTTTTTTTCTTTTAAATAAAATAAAAGATGTTATCAAATTTGTTCAACCCGCTGCAGTGGATTCTTCGCCCCCTCCCTCTCCCCTCGAACTGTGCACAAAGTGGCTACCACCATTTCTCCATCTCTCTTTGTTTTTTTTTTTTTTTTTTTTTTTCATTTCATTTTACTATCAACACTTGTTTAGCCTGCAAGGATTGTTCTGTGAAAATAAGGAAGCATAATGACTACAAAAATAAATGTGGAGAGGGAACTGGCTTTTGTCATGTACTTACTGTGATCAACTATTCGCCAACATGATTGAGTTAATAATAATAAATCCTTGCATACATTAGTCTTATATGAGATGCTTGTCTGATTTTCTGGTAAACTGTGTGAAAAGTAAAATAGGAAAAAAATAATAATAATACTGTAACCTTTATTTTTGGTAATCTTTACTCTTATTATTTATTTTACTGATACACTACCTACCTACCATCACCACCATTACTGTCATTTCACCAGATGTTTACATTTCTTATTCTTTTATTTCCAGTGTATATTCTATTCTATGACATGTAATTGATTGTCATATCGCTATTCAACCATGCTAGATACATGTGAGATTTCTGTCATATATATATATATATATATATATAATGTAATTGAACTTTATATTGTACATATACTTCCGATATCATTGCTGTATCGCTATTAGCGCAGTTTTTGTCTTCATTCATTTTTAGTTTCCTGAACCTGGAAAGACAGATCAGTGTACGATAGCTAACAAATAGAGATTGGGACCGGTTGTTTCCTTTTAAATTGGAGATAATTGTTTATTGTTTTTCTTTACTAGTTTTTTTTTCCTAGAACTCTTCTAGTCACACTACAGTATTCTTGTATTTTGTATGTTAATGTAATCCAAGGAATCCGGTTATTGACTTCTTCCCTCACTCCGTGGTTCAAATGATATGACTTGTAATGGAATATATATATATATATATATATATATATATATATATATATATATATATATAATTTATTGTACAGAAAACTCACAGTATTGTTACAAACTCAATACAATTTACCCCCTGTTGAATGTGTAGATTTTTTTTTACTTAAATTCCCATAGTGGTAGCTTGGTTCCGTTGTCCTAAAGAACTTTATAAAAGCCATTATGTAAAATGCAATAAATTTGTTTATTCAAGAGATTGATTGACAATAGACTGCTTATGTTATCTTTGTCATTATTATATGGTTTCACTGGTTGTGCAGTGCAATATTTAACTGGAATAATCTCGTTGACTTAGAATGTGCAGATGATATAGTCCTTCTAGGTGAAGACGCTGACAAAATGCAGAGTCTTCTGAACACATTGAATGTTTGGCATACGATTTGCTGCCGTCAAATCTAAGGTGATGCTACAGGACTGGACTACATCGACTCACACCCAGCTTAAAGATAGATGGGGAAGTGGTAGCTGAGCGTGTTGACCACTTCACTTGCTTGGGGAGTTGCATCAGACCCAACGGGTTGATCGCTGACGAAGTCTCAACACGGATACACGACGCTCGTTTTGCCTGTGCGAGTTTACGCCATCTCTGGTGTATACGTGATATCCGGCCATCGACCAAAAGGTGTGTGTACTCCTTTATAACTGTGAAACATAACTATCGGAAGAAATGCAAAGGTTAGCTATCTGTCTTTTATCATAGTTGTCTGCGTTCTATCTCCCGTGTTCATTAGTATAATAAGGTGAGCAATATTGATGTGAGGCATTGGTCGACTGGTAGATAAGGAGGGGAAATCAATCGACAAGGTTGTGGAGCAGTTATGGACTGAGATAGTTAGGACATGTGTTACGTATGCCTAGCTATTGCCTTCCTCAACCGACGGACAATGTGAACTGACATAGGATCAGGTTGGGAAAGAGCTAGTGGTGGTCAAACCAAAACATGCCTTCATCAGTCAATGAAATCCACAACAGTTAGTTTAAGCCAGCCACGTAGTAAGGTGTAGACTTCATGGTTGGGGTCCTCAGGATGGTAAAATCAAATGAAGGCTGGAGACAATTGGTGAAATGGTCCGCTCAGAATCGTTCTCGATGATGGCGCAGATGCATTCACTCTTTGTGTTTTGTCATATCCAGTAAAACTCTTGTTTTTCCATATTCCTATTCTTTTTTACCACACTTTTGTTTATTATCTCTTTTGAATCTCTCTTCTCTTGCTTTGTCATCTATAAGGAGGGAGTATGGCAACTCGAACTAGTGCACATCTGTGTAAAGTTCTATGTTGAAACCATTCTGTCAGTCAGCCTAAGATTATCAAAGGGAGATATCGCCCTTCTTATAAACTGAGTCATTCAATGGTTTGTATGAATCCTGTTGAACTATCTCACATCCCTACACGTCAACAGCCTTCACCACTTTCTGTAGCCGAACAGATATTATACCAAGCTTCTGCACGGTGGGTGTCGTTATGACACTCACATACGCGTCTAGTTACGTCTTCTCTAAATAAACTGTGCTCTTATTAAGAAGCTAGGTAGCTGCCTGTCTTCTGTCCCCCTTTTGTCGGTGTGTACGTGCACAGACTAACCTTAATCAAACTCAGATTTTGATAGGCATGAAGTTCTTGAGATTTAAGTTTTGGCTATAATAAGACTGATAAGAATTTAGGTTTTATAAAAGTTCAGACTTTGAAGTTTCAATTGCGATCGCGTTGTTTTTACGAGTGAGTTTGCCAGTCTCACAGCCAACCTTCCCTCTTTTCTAGGCTTGCTGGTGGCTATGTCTTCAGGGAACTGCACCCGGACCTCCCGCGAGAATTCTACCACTGAATCACCGACTCACATTGAATTTCACTTGAGTTTTTTGTCGCGTACTTTGACATTTGTTCTTAAATGTGCCCCAAGTATAAATCGACAGTCTATATATTACCTTTTAAGCAGTTTTGGAAACATTTGATAAAGAAATCGAAAGTATTTGAATTTCGGTACTATGAAGACTGCTTATAAATCTCTGCTGAAAGAGAAATACTAAGAATGTCATGTTATTCAGAATAATCTGTCTGGGACTGTTGTGTTGTCTAACAGAATACGTTTGAGTTTAGTTGTCTAGAAATTACAAATTCCTAAGAGTGTTCACTGAAGCATCTTTGTTGTGATTAGAAGATATAAATCAAATTGATTTTATCTTTTTAGAGAGTAACTATCTGTTCTTTATAAAGAGTAGGCAGATTGCATTCTTCACAGACACAAGGAATTTTTTTCACTTAACTTTTTGATGCACAACCATGTGACATGTGATAGCTTATAGTCGTTCATTGGTATTTTTTGGATTCTTGGTTTAATTTCTTTTCACTCTTTAGGAACTTTTGAAGAGTTGTCCTCCGAATTGAGGAAAAGTAATTGTGTTCATTTTCACTACTATTGCTCAACTTGGCCTCAAAAAGTTTAATGGAGTCTCTTATGAAAGTTAATTCAACTCAAAGATCTGTTGTAGCTTTGTGCACTCAGTTATATTTTCTGTGTGAAACTTTATAGTGTTAACTGTGAGCCGATTGGTTTTAAATTATGTAATCCAACAAACCGCAGCATATACGGGATTCTTTTAATTCCTAACTTGTCATGCATTATTTTCTTCATGCGATGCCTATAGCTGATTGGTGATTCGGAAAATGTTTGAATTAAGGGGCTGGTGAAGAAATTTAAGCCTGGTTACAAAGCGTTATACTTTATCTATTGATTTGTGGTATCTCACGCACTGGTCAGTTACCCGCTCACTATACAACAATCTATTGAATCTCAGTTTATGGTAAACAGTCAAAGCTGTTGAAAGTAAAGATACTTGAAATTTGTAGATTTTTGACCAAATGTTTCATAAATGTTAGTTCTCACATGCATAAAGATACAATAGTCTGGAGTTTCCAACAAGGAAGATTGCTTAGTTGAAGATTTTTGACACACATCCATCAAAACAGTTAAGTTATCCCTTATTCGGAAAAAGACCTACCTTTGTGACCTATTCGTTTTGTTTGTTGATGGGATACAGAGCAGCTTAATGTCATAGTGAATTCGGAACTCTTCTATTTTATTAGTAATATCATTTCTGAAGATTTCCATTAGTGCAGTGTTCACATATTCCTAAATTCGTGCTTAGAATAAATCCTAAGTCTGTTAGCTAAAAGCCTTGTGTTAGAATTTCAGGAATATCTTTCTTATTATGTTGATAGCGGTGTTATAATCCGCAGATTACACATTGCAGTATTTCTATTTTAGTTACTTATAAGTAGTCAAACGTCATAATTCGATTGAGTGCATCTTAATTTTGAACCTATGTTGAATTTGTCCAAATGCCAGTGTAATTCAGACTTTTTCCTTAATAAGAAAAAGATCTAAACAGAGAAAATTTTCTTTTCGATGATTCATTTTCATAAGGTGTTCAGTCTTAATTAGACTTCAATTCATCTCATCCGTTATCTGTAAAGGCAGGCTTAGTTGAGTGTCTAACAAACCGAGCAGTAGCACTACGTAGTACATTAAAAGACCTAAGTGATGAAATAAAACGCATAGAAGAAGCGTTGGTGTTGAATAACTATCCTATAAAATTCACTGGGAAGATTACTAAAGGTCAAAAGCAAAATAAAAATAATGGTGAAACTGATAGTAATAACATAAATAATAGAGAATGTAGCGCATCTACAGTTTTACCATTTAAGAAGGGGACATCTGAAACCCTACGTAGTAGGATTCTTAATAAAGCAGGAATTGTAGTGCCATTTAAACCTAAAAACTTACTCAGGTAGGACAAGCTCTATAGGTTAAAGGACCCAGTTGACTCAGTTAGACAAAATAATATAATTTCAACACTTGAAAATTTCAAAATACCTTGCAATGACTCTGAGTTAAGTCAACAATATAGGTCAAACTTGTAGATCGGGTGTAGTCAGATTGTCAGAACATAAGAATTTAGCTGAGGTAAAAATGATTGACCCCACGAAGATAAGTAATTTAGAAAAATGCTCGGCGATTTCAGTGTATGCATTAACACACAATAGGGTGGGAGAGGGTTAAAATTCTAAGATATAATATAGGTAGGTGGCGAGTGAAATTGATTACTGAATCCGTGTTCATCGAGTCCATACCAAACACGTGCAACAGGAATCACTTATACAGGAAATATGGAAAATACTACTACCAATCAAGTCAAGCGATGAAAAATAATGGAATTATATAAACGAAGTTAGAAAGTTGTGTGAAAACCTTGATTTGATTATGAGTAATAAATTGTGCTCGAAACGTCATTAGTAAATATTACTGTGTGACTTTATCGAAATAAATTAAAAAAATACATACGATGGAATTATATTGTACTACAGTGCACAAGTTGTATTCTTGTGAGACCAATCAGATGCTGGTGAAATTTGTCCTCGAAAAACATATTACGTAATCTAAGGTGTAACCTAGGAAGGGTGACTAATTGGAAGTCAGAGAAGTTGGCATGACGTAATAAATGTGAGAAAATGACTAATCAATATGATTGCGTAAAACGGACAGGAACTGGTGGAAAGACGATAGTGTTTTTCTAGAAAACCTGTGTGGAAACGCAGTGTTATTACTAAACAGTAGTAGAGTGATAATAAAATATTGATGATGGGAGTAATAATGATAATAAAAAGTAACAATAATAGTAAACTTACATAATAAAATGAAGCAAGAACGTTCCTCTGGCCACGGTAGGGCGAGTGAATGTATGTAGTGCTTTTGAATGCAGAAGTCGGGTTTCTGATTCGGAATAGCCAATGATTCAGCTACGTACACATGGCGTATGTGAAGTCTCTCTGTACGATATTTAGAGAGTCTGTGTAGCACTGTGAGGCATTCATGCAAGGGTGTTCGATGTCCGGAGATGACAAGGTGTTCGAGGATAGAGCTGCTGCTATTCTTTTTTCTCCTCTGGCTAACTAAGCTGGACCGTGTTCCAG